TGGCTCCTTATAGTCAACAACGTTTGAAATGCCTCATGGAAGGTCAAGGTTTCATTTTAAGGCTATATAAAGCCATCCATGTTGTGTTTGTAAAATACGAATGTAGTAAAAAAACATTTGTGTTTTCTTTTAATCAATGGCTAAGTTTCGTTGAAATTCTATAAACTTTAGGTTGCATGCTTAGAATTATTCAAACATAATATGTTCGATCTTGCTTGTGGAGTGATTCGAATCCCAAACAAGTTTTCTTGCGTTGAGATATTTGATCAATAAAGTAATCCAAATCTTACTTTTCCTTGAGGTAATTTTTTTTTTTTTTTTTTTTTTTTTTTTTATCATTTTGGGGTTTTTGGATATTTAGGTCTAAAGGTCTTGTTCTCAAAAAGGTTGTTCCCAAGCATTGCAATCATTTGGGATAAAATCATTTTGATTTGGGGGGTTTTAGCCTTTGTGATTTAGGTGTTTGCATATTCATGAGGGTTCTTAAATCTGATTAGCTAGGGTTTTCTTAAATCCAATTAGCTAGGTTTTCTTAGGGGAAGAGAGAACCTCCTCTCAAGGAGCTTAACCAGTTGTTGTGAATCTATGCAATTGGATAATTACAAAAGAATTAACTATTACTGAAAGTTCCCACAAAAAGAAATAAAATCAGAAAATTTATCTTCAAAAAAGCCTTTCAAGCCAACACACCCAAAGAAACCCTGACATCATAGCCAATCAGAGAACTTATACTCACATTAATGCCAATCAGAGAAGTTTTGACTAGATTTGGATGACGCCCTGTTCCCTTCAAAATTAATATCAATATATCCCCCATTCCATTTTCCAAGAATAGGCGCATCATCAGGGCCAAAAAAAGAAAAAAAAAAAAGAAAAAAGAAAATTGGTATCATCAGCATTCTGTAAGTGAGACTTCCAGCAAGGAGTTCCCTACTTAAGAACCATTCAGAATTCATTTTTTCAATACAAAAATGGACCGTATGACTAAGGCAACCCCAATGATGGTGAAGAGGAAGGGAGACAGTAAAAAAACAGCGTATATGGGGCTGGGCATTAGAAAAGGACAGCCTTTTATGTCTCTGGCAGAGAGGATGTATGGTGGTGGACATTAGCAAAAGACAGATTATTTACTACAAAGTCTCTGTCCATGTCTCTCTCCTCAGACATTCTTCCTATGGAGCTCAGTGACTCTTAGAATAGTACTTTCAACAAACTCCATGGAGATTTCCTTGGCTTTGCCTATCTCCTAGCTGCTACCCTGTGTTATTCCCATGCAAAAAATTCTGATCAACCTATTTTGTAGCTGCATTTTCACTTCACAGTTTTGGAGTTTTTTTTATGAGCCTATGTGACTGGAGTTCCCAGGACCGGGTGGCATCCTATCTCTTTTCTTTCTTTTGCTTATGGGTCATCCTTTCACAAAGGACATAGAATCCTTTGGCTTTGTCATGTTTGTGCTTTCTTTTGGATCCATTGGTTGGAGCACAACGCTCAATCTTCATGATAAAAATTATGATATCAGTTAATTTATTGACTCCACATCTCTTTTAACTATTAATTGGAGTAAATTGTGTCCTCATTTTTCTTATTATAGCCTATAAACTCTTGTTAATCAATGAAGGTGTTTTTTTTTGTATTTAATACTCCAAAGGACATATCCTTATGTATCCCATTTTATCATACCGATGAATGGTTATTGTTTCTCATAAAAAAGAAAAAGAAAAAAAAAAAAAAGATAGGTAAACTTAAATAGCGTCTCATCTAGAAATTCTAATTTCTATCCATCAATGTATCCATAAATATAAGTTATCAATGCTGACATAGTCATTTTGATCCTATTACTTACTTTTGTATCTTTATTTGATTTTGATTTTGGTAGTAAGATAGTTTGGGCTGTTTGAAGTGTGTTCCCTTGTTGGAGATGATTCCCATGCATACTTCTGTAGTAAGCATTTTTCATTGGCAACCATTTGATATATAAATGATGCTGGATACAAGGCTGCCTTGAAGGGTTGCGTACTTTATAAAATATGATTGTTATAGCGCTTATATTAGTGTTGTTATATTGGCGTTTACAATGAACCATTTCATTCTTTTTTCAGGACCTTGAACTGTTCAAATCCCAAAATTAAAGGGGCCGTGGTATTCCATGAGCAAGGTCCAGAGTTATTTGATTATAGCATTCGTCTCAATCATACTTGGGCTTTCTCAGGATTTCCTAATGTTAGATCCATCATGGACATGAATGGTCCGTATCTCAATGACTTGGAGCTGGGTGCAACTAATATACCAACAATGCAGTATAGCTTCAGTGGATTTTTAACTGTATGGTTCCGTGGATCTCTTTTTACTTCTTCATTTCTCAGTTAATATGCGGCTTACTTCAATAATAATGGTACTATCCTGTTGAATTTAGTGTGTAGCCTTTTTCCTTCTTAAAACTATTTGGACGGGAAACCGTATCTTTGTAAGAAATTAATTTCGTTTATAATATGTACTAGGAGAAGTAGGCAAGCGATCCTACTAAAAGAAGACAAGTATAAGTTAAATAATATTATTTTCTGGTCTTCAACAATTGAAATCGGGAGATTGTTCTGATACCTGCTTACTGAGAAAATCTACAAAGAAGTGAAGACAGATTGTTCAGCTTAATTGAAGCCTTAGCTTCTGATCTACCTTAATAATTCTATTTCTTTTCTTTTGTTCCAAAAATATATATATATATATATTTTCCTTTCCTCACGAAAGCATGGCCATGATATCACTAGGGGGGAGCTCTCCTCTTTTAGTCTCTCTCTCCTAAAAAAGAATGATGCACTTTTCTTCGAGTATGTGACAAATGATAAATTTCAATAAACAATTCTTCACCTCTTTAATGCCTAGGGACTTAGAAGACTCAAACGCCTAAGCGAATCACTATAAGGTGTCTCAATGGTTTCTATAGGTACCTCTTTGACAATAGGAGGACCATTTGGAAACATAATTGAATCCCCACGGCCTTGTTATAGAAATTGGGGCTGAGACTGCAAGCATTGGTCATTAATTTAACATTTCTTTTTTGGCGGGGGAATCTCTCAATCATATTTTCTTTTTTTGCCTTTTTTTTTTCACTTCTTTTGGAGTTTGTATCCTTGAGCATTAGTTTCTTTTTATTATTAGAGTTTCAATCAATTCTGTAATGGTCCAAGTCCACTTCTAGCAGATATTTGTTAGGATCGCACAACAACGCACACTCGATCTAGATGAACACAAAGAACAGGATAGAGAAAATGCAAGGAGAACTCTGGCTAAAGGATTTGTATTGATGAGTATGTATGAGAGAGAATACAGAGAATAGGGAGTATATGCTCTGCCGAGGGGATATATATATGGTTTAGCTTACTATATTTAGCTTTACCAGATATAACCATCTACTATATATAACTATTTACCATATATAGCTTTACCCAATATAGCTTTTTTACTCTGCATAGCTATTTATTATTTATGACAATTTACTCTATCATTTACCAAATATAGCTTTACTATGTATAACCATTGACTCAGCTATAAATAAGCAGACTCCATAACCTAACAATATTGTCTTTTTTGGGTTTTTCCTTTCGAGCTTACCCTCGAGGTCTTCAAAATGCGTTTGCTAGGGAAAGGTTTCCACTCCGTTATAAGAGTGTTTCGTTCTCCTCCCCAACCGATGTGGGATCTCACAATCCACCCCTTTTAGGGCCCAGCGTCCTCGCTGACACTCGTTTCTTTCTCCAATGGATGTGGGACCCCCACCAAATCCACTCCCCTTTGGGGCCCAGCGTCTTTCCTGGCACATAACTGGATTAGTTTCTTTGTATTATTTGAGTTTCAATCAATTCTCTAGCGGCTCAAGCCCACCGCTAGCAGATATTGTCCTCTTTGGGCTTTCCCTTTCGGGCTTACCCTCAAGGTTTTTAAAATGCGTCTTTCAGGGAAAGGTTTCCACACCCTTATAAAGAGTCGGCTAGGGAAAGGTTAAAGGTTTCCACACCTTTATACAGAGTCTGCTAGGGAAAGGTTTCCACACCTTTATACAAAGTCTGCTAGGGAAAGGTTAAAGGTTTCCACACCTTTATACAAAGTCTGCTAGGGAAAGGTTTCCACACCCTTATAAAGAGTCTGCTAGGGAAAGGTTAAAGGTTTCCACACCCTTATAAAGAGTCTGCTAGGGAAAGGTTAAAGGTTTCCACACCCTTATAAAGAGTTATAAAGAGTCTGCTAAGGAAAGTTTAAAGGTTTCCACACCCTTATAAAGAGTTATAAAGAGTCTGCTAAGGAAAGTTTAAAGGTTTCCACACCCTTATAAAGAGTCTGCTAGAGAAAGGTTAAAGGTTTCCACACCCTTATAAAGAGTCTGCTAGAGAAAAGTTAAAGGTTTCCACACCCTTATAAAGAGTCTGCTAGAGAAAGGTTAAAGGTTTCCATACCCTTATAAAGAGTCTGTTAGGGAAAGGTTTCCACACCCTTATAAAGGGTGTTTCGTTCTCCTCCCCAACCGACGTGGGATCTCACAATCCACCCCCTTTAGGGCCCAACGTACTCGCTGACACTCGTTCCTTTCTCCCATCAATGTGTCCCCACCAAATCCACCTCCCTTCGGGGCCAGCGTCCTTGCTGGTACACCACCTCGTGTCTACCCCCTTCGGGGAATAGCCTCCTCGCTTGTCCGATATCTGGCTCTGATACCATTTTTAACGGCCCAAGCCCACCACAACAGATATTGTCCTATTTGGACTTTCTCTTTTGGACTTACCTTCAAGGTTTTTAAAACGCGTCTGCTAGGAAAGGTTTCCACTCCCTTATAAAGAGTGTTTCGTTCTCCAACTGACGTGGGATCTCACAAATTCAATTTTTTCACTTCTTAATTTTTCGTACCCATCTCGTTCGTGGATTGCAAGGGACTTGGAGCGGTTACACTGGGTAGTCAATTGGGTTTCTTTTTTAGCATATCCACATAAGAATCCTGTGCTCTTCTCTTCCAACACGTGCTTCTATGTGTTTCCTTGTATTGATGAAATCTGTAAGCATGTTTGCGAACATCTCCCAGCCTGGAGACTCATCTCTTGATGGGACTACTACATTGGTCTTTCCTCCCGAGTTCAAGACTTTTGTTTTTTCTAGAAAGGGACCTCGTTTTGTTCGATGTTTTTCATTCCAAATAAACTCACCATTGCAATACATTTTTCGAAAAAACTTTTGCTCTTGGGGGAAAGCAATGAGTCTTCCAAGGTATCTACAAACCAGATGATGACAGTCTCTTCAACTGAAATCGCAAATTCTCTCTTTAATTGCGATTTGGTGATTTTTTTGAATCTTCCCTTCTTAATTTTATCAAAATCACACATAAACGACATATTTTCTATTTTGACTGGGTCTATCTTTCCAACATTAGGGTAGGAGACTCCAGTCACGAGTGTCTAGAGACTAAGCCATAGTCGGCTGTAGAGAAAAGAGGAAGAGAAGGAGCCTAAGATGTTATAAGACGCAGTTAAGATACAGTTATGACTATTCTGTTGTTATTTACAGGTCTTCTACAATTTGTTATCGTTCTATGAATTTGTATGTATTGATTTGTTATTGATCTTTACCCTACTTAAACAAAAAACAGCTCACTCTCCATAAACTAATAAAAGTAAAAGATAAAGTAACTTAATTGTATCCAAAAAAAAAGAAAAAAAAAAAAACTTAAAAGTATTGATTTTTTTTCCTTCTTAATTTCTTATAATTTGCCAGAATGACTGATGCAACTTAATTTTTGCAGCTTCAGCAAGTCATGGATTCATTCATAATATTTGCTTCCCAGGAAATGGAAACTAATATTCTCCATGTAAGTAGGAACAATACTTCATCAAACTCTTCTAGCAGACCTTCCTTGCTGAACTTGCCATGGACGCAATTTAGTCCTTCAAAAATACAAATTGCCCCTTTTCCAACTCGGGAGTATGTCGACGATGAATTCCAGTCAATTGTCAAGAAAGTGATGGGTGTGTTGTAAGTAGAATCCTGATTGTCTTTGTTTTCTAAATTATTTATAATTTCTTTTGAGACCATTATGCACACATTTTCAGATTAGATTTTGTCCCGCTTAGAAACTTCCTTTTATTGAGCAGGTATCTGTTGGGATTTCTTTACCCAATTTCTCGCCTTATCAGCTATTATGCATTTGAGAAGGTTCGAAATTGGTGCTGTTTAGTGTGATAATATTCTCTGTTTCATGTAGAAAAATTATATTATTTACCTTGATCCGAACAGATACCTGTACTTATTCTATTTTTATGCATGTTTTTGTTGTTCATTAGTTGTTGCCAACTCAACCCTCTAATTTTTATGATATTATAGGAAGAGAAGATCAAAGAAGGCCTCTACATGATGGGTCTGAAAGACGGGATATTCCATCTTTCTTGGTTTATTTCATATGCCGTTCAGGTAATGACTAATGTGTTCTTCAATTTACTTGTGTATAAGCCATGAGATAAAATTTTTGTGCTGTTGCATCTGCATGCTTAAAGTGCGAGCAAATAGTTGGTCATGATAAATCTCCTCTTTAGAGGGATATCGTCCCAATTAATTGAGCTGGGAGCCTCCTCGTAGTAATCCTTAAAAAGGATAGACTGAAAAGAGGCAAGAAATTCAAGTATAATCCTAGAAATATTGACAGTATCTATGCCTTAGTCTGTATCTGTGATTAAGTTCTTCCTTCTCCTTAATAATACCAGTATGTGAAAAATATTACAGCTCTCATCTACTTATATCAAGCTGTTTAACTTACATTTCTGTAACCAAAACATATTTTTCTTGATGGTAGTCCTTTGTGAAGTGGCCTTAAAGAGTTGTTCTACATGCTATGCCCTCCTCCCTAAGCCCTCCATCTTTATCGGCAGGGTCAATTCTGATAGTTTCATTGTTTAGCACAGCAGTGTTCCTTTGTGTGAATATGACTAAATTGGGGAGCTTATTTTGACATTTCTTTAATGATTATACTAATTTAGGCAGACTTCTTAAGTGGGTTTGGTTGCTTTATTATTGTAAGTTTGCAATGTTGTATCAAATAGGCAATTTGTTGCATGTTTAAATTAGCGTGGTGTTTTTCTTTTTTTCTTCCGATAGTTACTCTTTTTTTTTCCAGAGAATTACATGTCCATTTTATAGGGGAAATGCTAACTAAATCTAAATCAATCCCTAGATACTAGGTAATCTAAATAAATCCTTAGATAATAAGTAACAATACGTAACAAGATATGATAAATCTAAATAAATTCCTAGTTACTAGGTAACAATAAATCTAAATAATAATCCATTGATACTAGTTAACTAGATCTAAATAAATCCAACCAGATAAATTAGGGAGGTTAACTACCTTATTTATTATGGGATTACACAAATGTCCTCGACACAATTTTATTAGAATGACAAAGATGCCTTCAAGATTACTAGACAGCCACTTTATGGGCTGTGAAACGGAACCTAACCATGCTGTAAAACAATTTCTAACCAAGCATCCAACTTAACTAGGCTGTAAAATATAAATAAGGAATACATACCTAATGCACAATCACTATGACAAAATATATAAGAGGAAATCCAACAAAATCCAACCACCATAACCTTTGATGTAATCTGGAATACTATGGTTGTTGAGCTTCAAGTGGAAATGACCTATTAGCTTCCACCTTCCAACTGGCTCAAGAACCAAAGGGTTTCTCCCATTTTCCAGTTTGAGCACAACTTTGCCATCCATCATGGGGTTCACTTGAAATTTGACATTGAAATGTTCCTCAAGAGCCGGTGCAGGATATCTTTTATTATTCTTGGGTAGTTCTGGTTAGTTCTTGACGTTCTTGTATTTCCTTGTTTAAAGATTTTGTTAAAACCAAGAAGATGTCTTTTCTATCTAACCATTGTCAGTTTTTGGCTAAGATTCTTTAGTTTTTACAGCCTTCGTTAAGTGGCTGTTTAGTTAAGTTTTACCATTACCCACTTCGGTAAACCAGTATTTTAGCCTATTTAAGTAGCCTTCACCTCAATGAAGCATCATTTGCTATTCAGTCTAAAAAAATCTCCCTTGTCTACACCAAGAGCCCCCTTGATATGAGAAAACAATCTGATTATAAATAAAATTTCACAGACGTTCTAAAATTCACAAAATTTCGTACTTACTACTTACCCAGTATGAAGAAAGAGACGTAATTTTTCATGGATGATACTGGAGGTTCTTGTTATATCATATTGGCTTTGTCAATATCCGCATAAGACTTAGAAGGGCTTAAACTAGATTCAGACGTGCTTGGCAATGGTTGAACCTTAGGCCTAGGTTGAAGGACCGAACCATCCATCCTGAGTCTTCAAATATCCTGATAGTGTCCTTCAATATATCCCGAATAGTTAGCCATCCTCTCTTGAGGAAACCAACGGGCACACTAATCACCTTTCTTTCACTGGTAATTGACCACACAATCAATCAATAACCCACATTGAAGAGTACCGTTATCTCTGCATTTGGTTGTACCAAACTCATCCCTGTCATGCTTAGAGAATAGCAAAGGATCAGGAATTTGTAAAAACTCAACTATGGACTCCTCAAACCAAAGGAGATGGGATGAAGAGAGCGGAATAATGTACTTAAAGTCCAAATCTTCAATTGGATTGATAAATCTTTGGCATCATCAACCTCTTTGAATAAATCATTATTTGCAGCACTTTGGAAATCTAAAAGTCAAAAGAAAACTAATATTCTCATTTGCCATCAATTTCTATTCTTCTGAAGTTTTGCAGAGGAATCGTCCCAATCAGAGTCTTTTTCCATCAGTTTGTTCTTTATGTTTTGCATTGGGGGAATCTCTCAATCATATTTTCTTTGATTGTTCTTATGCTCGATTTTGTTGGTTCAAGATTTTTGCGATATTTAATGTCCAATGGGTTTTCTCTAATATTATGAAGGATAACACCTCTCAAGTTCTCATAGGCCTTTTGATGGTTCCGAAGACGATTATTCTTCAGGTTAATGTGGTTAAAACTCTTTTCAGAATTACAGTCAGAGAGGAACTTAGAATTTTTCAAAGTTCATCTCTTTCTTGTCACGTCAGATTTGAATCAGCTTGCTTAAAGTTTTCATTTTGGTGTTCTTTCTCAAAGCTGTTTGCTGGTTTTTCAATTCAGGATATTTGCCGAAGCTGGAGTGTATTTATTTCTCCTTTTTAAGTACTTCAACATTAATTGCTTGTTTTGTTGTGCTGCTGTCTTTTTTATTTTTTTTATTTTTTTATTTTTCTGCTTTACTCCTTTTGGAGTTTGTGTCCTTGAGCATTAGTCTATTTTCATTTCCTTAATGAAAAGTTCCGTATTTTGTTAAAAAAATCAAAAAGTCTATCTTCTACATAAAATTGCTCCTTTTCGGACCATGGAAATTAAAACTACCAATACAACCAGCTTGTCATATTACCAATGAGAGCCAGTTTCTCATATAATTTCAACAAGAAAGCCGGTGTCTCATGTATTGAACTGCTTACCATGCTAAATAGAGTTCTAACTTTTTCATCTAAGCTTGTTATCTAAATTCTCTACAAGCTTTCTTTTTTTTTAATAGTTCTCTCTTTGTTCTTTGGGGTGGGATCCAGTGGTTTTGATTTGGCTTGATCTGATGTCTTTTACAGTTTGCATTATCTGCTGGAGTTATCACTTTGTGCACGATGCATAACCTTTTCAAGTACAGTGATAAGACGGTGGTCTTCATCTATTTCTTCTCATTTGGATTAAGTGCAATCATGTTTTCATTTTTGATCTCTACATTCTTCAAACGAGCAAAAACTGCTGTGGCAGTGGGAACACTTGCTTTTTTAGGTGCCTATTTTCCATACTATACCGTAAATGATGAAACTGTGTCCGTGTAAGTATCTTTGCCACGAGGAATCATATTTTGTTTTATTTAGTTAACAATTTCAATTTTTGAATTGATGTATGGTCTAAGTTTTCACTCTACTTCAGGATAGTGAAGGCAACTGCTTCATTGCTTTCACCAACGGCTTTTGCTTTAGGGTCCATTAACTTTGCAGATTATGAACGTGCTCGTGTTGGACTTAGATGGAGCAACATGTGGAGGGTAATGTTTAATGATTAGCTGTGCTTTTAACAATAATCTGTAAGATCTCTTTCGGGAGGGAACTAAATGTTGGCTGCTTGGTTTGGATAGGCATCCTCTGGAGTAAACTTTTTGGTGTGTCTTTTAATGATGTTCTTTGACTCGCTGCTGTACTGTGTAATTGGTCTTTACATGGATAAGGTATGACTTACAACTCAAATCTCATTTTAAAGGGAATCTTTGAACTCATAAATATTGCTTCAAGATTTTTTTTAATCTTTGTGCATTATTGGTGGCTTATTTATAGCTTAGTCAACACTTATACATAGTAAAGCTATATTTGGTAAATGAGTAAAATGTTATAGTAAATAGCTATGTATAGTAAAAAGCTAGGTAAAACTATATATGGTAGATAGTTATATATAGTAGATGGTTATATCTGGTAAAACTATATATATAGTAAGCTATGGTTTAGCTTTCTATATTCTGTGTATGTATTCTCTCTCATACATACTCATAAATACAAAACCTTTAGCGAATATTCTCCTTGTATTTTCTCTATCCTGTTTTTTGTGTTCATCTAGATCTAGTGTGTGCTTTGTTGTGCGATCCTAACATTGTGAACTAAGTTCTGAAATATGGACGATGTAAATGTTAAGTTTGAAACCAAAAGTGTATTTTCCCGTTTATGGGTGTAAATATCTAAGATCTAGAGGTTTATTATTCTTTAGTCCATATATACCTAACAGGATCTTCGTTGATTAAACGGAAAATTTGAAGACAGTAACACATTATAAACAAAATAAACCCACCAAAATTTACTGGAAGTCTTCCAAAACTAACCACCCAAAAAAAAGAAACACTCGAACTGGACCGTACACATAAATCTTAACATGATTTCTTGCACAAATGTCCAGTAAAAGAAGAACTATTACTAAAAATGGTAGAAAAAACACACCTTTTGATTGTGATCTTCCTCTCTTCCGATATGAGACATTTACCTTAAAAATTCAAGAGTTTCTCTCAGACCATAAATCAATATTAAGGCTTAAGTGAAATAATCCACTTTAACTTACGTGTCTAACTTGAATAAAAGGAATTTTGACGAGGAGATATGGAGAGTATACAACTTGCTTCAATCTCTTGTATAGCACCGTAGGCAGATTCTTTAACACACTTTTTTCCTAGATAATAAGTCAGGAATCCTTTACATCCTTCCCTCTTCTGAATTAAATACATGAAGCGTTTCTGATGCAATCATTTTCAAAGAATTCATAGAAGACCTCCATCATAACTTCTTTCAACAATTTCAAAATTTACTGAAAAATTCTGAATAGAAAAGTCATCTGAATTTGGAGATTCTTAACAGCTGCATACAGCTCTTCTTCGTTGAAGGACTTCTCGAACCAACTTTTGATCCCCTTTCCTGATGTGATTCAAGTTTAATCCAACCGGAATGTACCTCAAGTTCCAGTTTTTCGAATTTAAGGATTCATAAAAGCTAATATCTCTTTACTATTTTTTTAATCTTATTATTAGACTCATTTTTTTTAGCTACAATTGAAGCTCATGCTGTGATGATTCCTTCCCTCCGTTTTCTCTCCTCCCTTCCCTATGTTTTCTGTTTTTAGCCGCTGTCCTTTCTAGCCTAAGCTCCATGCTTTGACTTCGCAAAGGAAATTATTACGTGGAGTAATTTAAGGATAATTATCCCGTAGTTATTGATTTGAAAGTTTAGGAGATCAATTAGAAAGATTTAGTAGTTATTGATTTAAAAGGTTAGGAGATCCATTAGGAAGATATTGGTAGTAGTTGCTTAATCTTAAGAGAAAGTTTAGGAATTTGAGGAGGAAGTCTAGGAGATCGGTGGTGCAATTTCCACAGATGTATGTTATTTACAGCAACAAAAAGAAGAGAATTAATAAAGCATACATGCTAGGATGTCAAAACAAATGCTGTCACCACAAGTTGCCGGAGCTAATGTGACAACGATAAGGAGTGAAAGAGAGGGGAGTGCAACAATCCAGTACCCGTTATTCATGAAGAGTAACTATGCAGCATGGTCGATAAAGATGTCTGTTAACTTACAGGCACAAAGCGTGTGGGACGCCGTCGAGCATGATGACGTTGAGGAGCATAAGGATAGGATGACTCTTGCTGTCATCTACCAAGTAGTCTCGGACGACGTCCTTCTCATGTTGGTAGAGAAGGACTCAACAAAGGCAACGTAGGAGACGCTGCAAACAATGCATGTGGGGTGGAACGTGTCAAGGAAGTAAAGGTGTAGACCTTGAAGAGTGAGTTCGAGGCTATCTGCATGAAGAACGGTGAGTCAATAGACGACTTTTCCATGAAGTCGTCGTCAACGACATTCATTCATTAGGTGACGTGGTGGAGGAGATCTTCGTCGTCAAGAAGTTCCTTCGAGCAGTTCCCCCAAGATTCATGCAGATTGTTACCTCTATTAAGCAGTATGAAGACCTCAAGAACATTAATAGATAGATGTTGTTACAGCTTCTGCCCAAAATTGGTTTGAAAGTCTCCTTGCTTGTAGCATACTTCTTTCCATCTCCACAATAGTTCGATTTTTTCGTTCAGCGATTCCATTTCCATTTTGCTCTTGGAGTGTAAGGAGCTGTTAACTCCCTTTGGATTCCCTTTTCTTTCATAAAACAAATTGAACTATTTAGATATGAACTCGCCACCTCTATCTGTGCGAAGAACTTTAATGGGGTAGCTACTTTGGTTCTCTACCATAGCTTTAAAATTCTTGAACTTCGGAAAAGTTTCGAACTTATGTTGTAAGGAATATACTCCCACCCAAGGACTTAGTTTGCATTGACCCACATAAATCTGCATGCATTAGTTCTAGACAATGTGAGGCTCTTTTAGCTTTTCCAACCGGAAAGGACTTCCCAATTTGCTTGCCATAAATGCATCTTTCACATAAACTAATTAATCCATTCTTGGTGATCCGAAAACCATACCTTTATCCCTGAGTATTTTCAGGCCCTTCATATGAGATATTTTCAGGCCTTCATATGAAGATGCCCATATCTAAGATGCCATAATGTCGAGTCAATCTTTTATGCTAGCAAGGGCAAAATCTCCATGTTGGACACATCTAGTGGAAACATCTCATTTGAAATAATGACAATTTGAACTTTATGGCCTGATTTCTTATTTGTAATGACACATGCTTTGTCATCAAATAGAACGGAATGTTCTTTGGTCATCAATTGTCCAACACTCAATAAATTGTACCCTAAATTAGGTAAAAATTGAATGTTATCTAATAGTTTTATCTTACATACTGTTTCGACTTTCACTTTGTCTTTTCCCTCAACTTGCATCTCTTTTGTATTTTCGAGTTGTACCTTAATTTTTTACATCTCATCAAGCTCTTGGAATAAAGATTTGGTGCCTGTCATATGGTTCGAGCATCTGCTATCAACAAACCATAAGTCACCTCTTTTTGGATTAATATCAATACACACCATAAAAGCTTTTCGTTTTCTTCTTCATTTTCTGCTGCAAAATTCATTTGTTGATCTTTATACCAAGAATCAGCTTTTATGTGCTCATACCTTCTGCAATGGTAACATTGTATGACATTTCTTATGCTTTAAAACATCCTCATATTCGTTAAAAGTTTGATGAAAAATCTGAAAAATGCATTTTCATTGGCTATTGTACTCAATTAAAGCCGTATAAATTATACAACCTCTTACTGAAAAGATTTCAATAAGAAGGAATTTAATATTTGATGAAAATGTGAGTTGAGATTGAAGTAAAGAACCCTTACTGCAAAGATTTCAATAAGAAGGAATTTAATATTTGATGAAAATGTGAGTTGAGATTGAAGTAAAGAACCGGAGCAGCAAGAGATTACAGTTGAAGTTTCTCTAGAGGAAGAGATAAGGGTCAACTCTAGTGCGTCTCCTAGTGCCTCCACGGCAACACAAAATTTGTTAAATTCATCATCTTCAGCATCACTAAACAACAACTCTTCTCTTGAAAAATTTTCGGATAAGACACCCCCGAGGAAGTATAAATCTTTAGCTCACATATATGCATCATATCAATTTTCTCACTCTTACTATTTTAGACCCCATGAGTTATGAAGAAGCAGTTGAAAAAGAAGAGTGGAAGAAAGACATTGAAGAAGAGATGTAGTCCATTGAGAAAAATGGAACATGAGAGATGGTTGACTTACATGAGGATAAAAATGCAATCAATTTGAAATGGGTGTTCAAGACAAAATTTGCACCAGATGGAAGCATACAAAAGCACAAGGCTCTTCTTATAGCTAAAAGGGTATATGCAACAAGGTATAGATTTTGAAGAAACTTTCTCTCCAGTAGCTCGTTTTGAAACCGTATGAACTATTCTTGCATTAGCAGTCGAATTGCGGTGGCCTGTTTATTAGTTTGATGTCAAGTCAGCATTTCTTAATGGAGATTTACGAGAAGAGGTCTATGTAGCACAACCAGAGGGATTCATAAAGAAAGACAAAGAAACAAAGGACCGATATGACCAGAAGGAGGTAAATTGGAGGATTGAATTGACTCTTTTATCCCTGGAACCAAGTTGAACTATACAAGCTGAAAAAGGCATTATATGGATTAAAGTAGATCCCTTGAGCTTGGTACAACAAGATTTATGGGTATTTTCAAGAAAAAAGATACTACATGAGAAGTGAGAATGAACCAACTTTATATGTGAAGAAGGAAGGTAAAAGTGATTTCATCATTATTTGTCTCTATGTTGATGATATGATTTACACTAGCTTTTCTTATTCTCTTTTGGATGAATTTAAGTCTCAAATGATGAGTGAATTTAAGAGTTCGGATATGGGTCTACTACACTATTTTCTTGGTCGTGAAGTATATCAAGTTGAAGATGAGATTTTTATTTCACAAATAAAATATGCCAAAGATATTATGAGTAAATTTAGTATGCTTAATGGTAAGCCTGAAAATATTAATGAGAAATTACAACAGGAGGATGGAGCAGAAATGACAAAGGTTAGAAGGTTCAGAAGCTTGGTTGACAGACTAATTTACTTAACCTACACATGACCTGCATTTCTGGTTGGTATTATTTCTAGGTTTATGCAACAACCTTTAAAGGTTTTTATGGAGGTTCATTATGGAGCAGCAAGAAGAGTCTTATGTTATGTTGCTGGAACTATGGAGTATGGAATTTGGTATTCTAAATCATCTAATTTTAAATTATATGGGTTCACTGATAGTGCTTGGGCAGGATCATTAGATGATAGACGAAGCATTTCAGCCAATGTTTTCACTTTAGGATCGGGAGTGATCATTTGGAGCTCAAAGAAACAAGCAACAGTGGCGTTGTCAACGTCAGAAGCAGAATATGTTGCAGCAACTTCAGCCGTGTGTCAAGCGATTTGGCTAAGAAGAGTGTTAGCTGAGCTTCAACAAGAGCAAAAAGGAGCAACAAAGATATTTTGTGATAACAAATCAACTATTTCTATGACAAAGAACTCGACATTTCACAGCAGAACAAAAACATATTGAACTTTGACATCATTATATTTGTTATCTTGTTGTAAAGGAAGAAATTGTCTTGGAATATTGTAACACCAATGAACAGTTAGCAGACATACATACTCTTTGTCAAAAGAAAAATTTTGCTACTTTAGACGATCTGCAAATTTGAATCAAGGGGAGTGTTGAAATATGATTCAAAGTATTCAAAGTCTTGACCAAGATTTTAGGAGGTTGTTAGTAGTTTTGAATTTATTTATAGTTAATTGTGTTGGAAAAAGGGATAGTAAAGAGATAAGAATAGATAGAATAGATGAATGCTGCCGTGTTTTATTATTGTCTACTGACTTGATGCTTAGAGGGTTACACAATTCCAGTATTTATAGCTTATACACTGGACCAGAAATAGTAAATCATGGAAATCTAGATAAATTCAAATATACTAACCATCTCCTAAAATCTTGGTAGTTTGAATATTTGAGTCATATCTCAACTTTTCATTTTGAATACTTTGAATCATATCTCAACAATCCCCCTTGATTCAAAGTTGCAGATGTCAAGTACAGAGCTTTTCTTTTGACAAGGTCTTCGTAAATATGTCTGCTTTAACCCGTACAATGTCTGTCTCAGCTTGTATACCTTTGTTTCTTTGTCTTCATTTATGAATCCCTCTGGCTGTGTTACATAAACCTCTTCTTGTAAATTTCCATAAAACTTTTCGTTTGGTAGGTCAACCATATCCCATGTTCCATCTTTCTTAACAGACTGCATCTCTATTGCCATGACTTTCTTCCCGTCTTCTTTTTCAGTTGCTTCTTCATAATTCATAGGGTCTGAAACAGTAAGAGCAAATTGACATGATGCATATATGTCAACTAAAGATTTATACTTCCTTGGAGGTGTCTCATATGAAAGTTCTTCAAGAGAAGAATTGCTATTCAGTGATGCTGAAGATGATGAATTTGACACACTTTGCGTGGTAGTGGATGCACTGGAGTCGACCCTTGTCTCTTCATTTGGGGAAACTTCAACTGTAATCTTTTGCTGCTCTTGTTCTTTACTCCAATCCCAACTCACGTTTTCATTAAATATCACATCCCTTATGCCTAAAATATTTTCATTAATTTATATGCCTTTGATTGAGTACAATAGCCAATGAAAATGCATTTTTCAGATTTTTCATCAAGCTTTTGACGAATTTGAGGATGTTTCAAAGTATAAGCAACACAACCAAAGATTCGTAAATGACTTACAGATGGTTTTCTTCCATGCCATGCTTCATAAGAAGTTCGATTCATAACCGCCTTTGTTAATGAGATGTTTAATAGATAAACAGATGTTCCTACGGCTTCTGCCCAAAATTGGTTTGGAAGTCTCCTTGCTTGTAACATACTTCTTGCCATCTCCACAATAGTTCGATTTTTTCGTTCAGTGATTCCATTTTGTTCTGGAATGTAGGGAGCTATTAATTCCCTTTGGATGCCCTCTTCTTCACAGAACAGATTGAACTCTTTAGATATAAACTCGTCACCTCTGTCTGTTCGAAGAACTTTAATGTGACAGCCACTTTGGTTCTCATACCATAGCTTTATAAATCTGGAACTTCTAAAAAGTTTCTGACTTATGTTGTAGGAAGTAAACCCAGCTCATGCGACTATAATCATCAATGAATAGTAAAAAATATATACTTCCACCCAAGGACTTTGTTTGCATTGGCCCACATAAATCAGCATGAATTAGTTCTAGACAATGTGAAGCTCTTCTAGCTTTTCCAATAGGAAAGGACTTCCTAGTCTGCTCGCCATAAATGCATCATTCACATAAATTAGTTGAGTCAATTCTTGGTAATCCGAAAACCATATCTTTATTCCTGAGTATTTTCAGGCCATTCATATGAAGATGTCCATATTTGAGATGTCATAACGTTAAGTCATCTTTTGTGCTAGCAGCAAGAGCAAAATCCTCCATGTTAGAAATATGGAGTGGAAACATCTTATTTGAAGTCATGACAATTTGAACTTTATGGCCTGATTTCTTATGTGTAATGACACA